GGGATGAAAGGCTCGGATGGCCCGGGCGACTCACGACCCAGGATCCCCGGACCGCTCGCGTGGTAAGTGCGCCACTTGTCACTACACCACTTCCGCCCAAGTGGAAGTATCCCTTCAGAAATGTGCAAAAGTTAATTTGGTGGGGGAGTAGGGCAAAATGACATTTTTGGACGACGCTCGTTCGAGTTTTAACCAAGGTTGAACAATTGCCCACATCATTGTCCTCTTGCGAAAACTTCATTCCATTACACTCATAGAAAGGCAATTGTTTTCAAAGACGATAGCGTTCACTGTGCGTTCTCTTCACCCGTTCCCAGAGACAGGCTAGCGAGGAATACCCGAGAACCCGTCAGAAAGACCCTTTTCAGGTTCGAATCCGTTGCGCGTTCTATGACTTCACTTATCGCCGAAGGAGGTCAGCGACTTACGATCGGCTCGACAGTCACCATTGCGACGACAGGCCCATTCAGTCCAATTGCTAGTGCATACTTGCTACGTCAAGCACTCGGTTATTCGCTATGTATCATGTAATTGACTACTTCATCTTTTAACGTTCAACAGCTCTCTGCTTTTGCGGCGATTCCGTGATTGATGCATATTGAGCCAATACCTTGATGGAATAGCGGGATTTTTCCTTTTTTTCCTCAGAAACTAACTTTTCGAAGAACTTTCCTTGATTTACACTAGAACCCTAGAGAGTATGCAGTTTCTTCTCGAATTCCTAGTTTGGAGAGCATCAACCCAAATTTCGCACCTAACAGAGGGTATGAGCTGGGGCTGCAAGACAGCGTCCGGCACGGTAACGATCGGACCTTTGTGATACAGCTTCTCCATTTTCAACTACCATTACCCTTTTGTCTTTAATTTTTACTCATAGCCTACCTTCCATCACGGCTATTGAAATGTGAGGGATAGCAACCGTAAAGGAAACAATTAGGCTTCCTAATTTGGCACGCAACAATCAAATTCCTATCAAGGCTAAGTGATTTCATCCAACAACTTTGCTTGTCAAAGAGAAGGATCTACACTAAGACGACAGTTCAGATAAGAGTATCAGGATGAATTTACTGAATTTATTGATTAAATCTGACAAGATCTTCATCGGCTTCTTATTCATTGGTTTTATTTTAATGAAAATGAACGCATTACACATTGGTAGAATCGTTCCCAGACCTTTAAAATATTTTTACTGTCTTGGTTTTAAAAACTTCTTAGTCATAACATGTTTGTTTAGGTTTATCACGTCACTAGCAAATATTGTATGAGATTGCAATCACAATAACAATCCGCTTATAATAACTTGTTTCAAGAGACAGTCAAAAATAATACAAAAATGTTAAATAACCCCAATGTCTTCGTCGTTCTGCGGCATAACAAGGCTGCATTTTTTAACGTATTATTTTTTACAGATCATAATCATGCAATTCTTCTATACTTTCTATGCCCTTCATCGTTGCTATTGTGAAATAGTTCATTAGTCTCGTTCTAAATATAAAAAGTTTATGATAATAGCAGACAAGATAATATGTAGATAAAGTCATGTCTAATAATTATTAACCAAAACTTCGAATTTCGAAAATATCCGTCGTAAATGGTATCCCGGGTCGTGCACTCTCACTTTGACATCGCTTTTGTCCACGAATCACCCGCACTCTTTTGTCCACTCTTTCCATAGTCCCATTAACCACGTCAGAGTTCGATGAAGTTCACTCACTAAGCACGTTTTTCGCCGAATCGCTGACAGTTTCCCATCTAAAAGAGAATCCAAAGAAGATGCTATTTCCTCTCTATCTCATTCTTTCGGACAGCCTTGTTCGAAACGAAATCCGGGTCGGTTCCTTTCGTAGTTCATCAAAACCCATCCCCACAACATCATAGGGCAGAAAGGGGGAAGAGGGGGGGGGGCGCACTCCTAGTAACAGTTTGATTTCCATCAATGGAAATACCATCACAAGGAGAAAAGGAGCAATCCTAGTGACATTTTTATTTCTATCTATGGAGTCGTGAAGTGCGCATGTTTCGCTCCAAAGTTTCCCTTTGTTCATTCATTAACGCAGGCAGACATGATAATTACTGCCGAGCTGCTACCGTACTGCACTCCCTTGGCCACATAGCATATGCTAAACTCCGATTTACTCTACAGTCATATTTTTGAGCTGTGCACAGGTGGTGTGGGGGGGCAAAAAACAGTTTGTCATGTCGAACTTCATACCGGATATTTCGTCGTAAAATTGCCAGCGTTGAAACAGATGCTGCTACAACTCTCCGGCCCCACGTTGTCCCTCTAATAAGATGAAGCGAGCCCTCCTTTACTACCATATCTCCTTCGAATATGCCTTCACCTGCCATTGATCGTGCCAACCTAAACTCTCAGATAAATTGCTCACCTAAGCTGCCACATAATTTCTTGAGTTGATTCACTGTTGTATAGATTTTGAGAAATTAGCTCTTCCATTAAAGCGAAACCACTTCTTGCCATCGCTCTTGGATGATTGCGTAATAACACGCATCCTTCGAGGACAGAGTTGAGCTCACGGGCACCATGTTTCCGTGACAGATGTTTTTTCGATATCCTCTTCGTAAAAGGTCGCTATGTTTTTTTTTTTTTTTTATCTAATGAATAGCTCCATCGATTCTAGTTTGGAGCAATATGCGTTGCATTCAGTAAAAATGTGATTAATCCATTTTAAGGAATAAGTAGTCTTCACAGTTCAGTATTTCTGCCTATCCGTGGTTGAGTACATAATCTTTGACTTATTTGGATATGTATTTCAACTGTACATGATCTGTTGGGCTAGCACAACTCAGTGCCATTGCAGACCGTCTTTTCGTACGTGATTATACGATCTTGGGAGGTTCGATGATTTGATTGGTCGGGACCGGTTTGTGCCTATAAAATACGGCAAGAAAATAGCTGTGCCGCGCCTCATGCACTCTCTGTCAAAAACGAGAAGAGAGTCAGGTGCAGACCACACACCACAGTGACGACGGCCTCCACAAAATGTAAATGTTTTCTGCCAATGAAATGATTAGCCTGTTGCAGTTGTATTCTATCAGTTGTCACTAATTACAACTATCATTTACCAAAAATCAGCTATCACTATGAACCACTACTAGCCAGATTTACTTGAGGCCGTCGTCACTTGTGGTGTATGGTCTGCACCCGACGCTCTTCTCGATTTTTGAAAGGGAGGTAATCACCATGCTTCCAGGAAAATTGTTTGTACGGACACATTCTGCACATGTTCCGATTCCTGTTCCGCAGAGATACGGTCTAGAAACCCTGTGAAATCATTAATTATTCAATTTTTTCTGTCTGGCCTCCGACTATTCTTCTTTTCTTGACCTAATTGTTCACAACCGCCATAGGTATGAAAAGGCTAATGTGCTCGGGCATTTATGCGTTCTATTAGAATGGGCTGAGGCGTCCACTCAATACCCACAATTTCAGAGCATATGAGTGCTTGCTTCGCCCATGCAATGACTTGTGACCCTTATGATATCCCTTAGACTTCCGTCATTGAAACAGCTCCAAAAAAATCGAAGGGTTTGGTTATCAGAGCAGAATCTGATTTTAACTGTTGCTGGTGACTTATATCTTGCGCAGCGAGATAGGCCTTGAAAATGAAGCACCCGTTGCGTCTATATTTTACCTCCTTTTCATCCGTGTCTTGACAAGAATTATTCCACCTTATTCAAGCATCCATTCCATCGTCTGTTTCAATCGACCAAAATACATCCACCTTGCTTTTAATAACAACCATTGCGCTTGGTATTTCCTTGAAATCGGATATATTCGAAGTCTGGACTTTCCGATTAATTCGACTGAGTTTTCTAAAATATAAATTGTATAACTAAACCTTAGAAGATGGGTCAAAGTAAAACTGAAACCAAGCTACTATGAATCGTCATAAATTTTGAGAGGTGACCTCGAACGAAAGTGACCGCATTGTTGAAAGGAGACCAGTGTATTAAGTAGGGCCCCTAAAATGCGCTAAACTACTTCAATTGGCCTAGATCTCCGTCACTTGATGACTGGTTCATGGTCTCGCGCAAATTTTGTATGCGAGGGTTGGACAAAAAGTTCTCTGTTTTTGATAAAAATAGGGTATGCTACTGAGAAGAGCCCGGGCCAACCAAGCCTTCCATCCCTCCGGGGTCGGTTAATTGGTACCAGACTTGTCTGGGAGGATAAAAAACACTGACTTGTACATCGGCTGGCCCCGCAAGTCATTGTAGGCCACATCGCATTCAAACGCCACTGCGAATGTACAAATGGAAGTAGAATGCGTGCCGCATCCCAAAAAGGGATTGATCAACGGCAAATGCTTTATCCTTTATCCTTTATAGTGTGGGGGGGGGGTTTACAAACAAAGGGTCTTCATACTTATAGCACAAAGCAGCAAACTTTTCGACTTAGGAATTGTCGACTACAACCCCAGATGAGGTTGTGTCGAAAAGAAGTATGGTGGAAGGATAGGGTAGATCCGTGGCTACAGCTGCAACTGTTGCCGCGGTTCGAAGGTGCGCGACAATGGGTTAGGGCCTTACCAACTAAGATAATAACGAATAATGTGAGCTAATGGACGAGATACCTCGCTCACCCCCATGACACGCAACGTGGATCACGATGTAGCGAGTAATTCAAACACGCGCAGTACCTGCAGCCACAAAGAAATCAAGTTTGGACAACTCGTCCGGACCGCCCCTCCCGCCTTTGTGAGGAGCAAGAGAGGGAGTTTGTGGGCCTATCGGCGCCGCTTTGCTTCTTTAATTTTCAGTCAACTCTGCATCCATAATTCATTACTGGCCGCTGGTAGCCCACTAATTTGATCTGTTGTTGCTGCTATAAAGGCGAAAACCACCTCATGTCGTTTGCGCTCCGCATCTTCGGGAACGAGCCGCGCTGTTTTCGTTTGCTGGGCTGTTGTCCGTGTAGGCCAGCTATTTAACAGATTCGAATGTGCTCTTCAACTGCATATACATATAACATAAAAACAGGGCGAACCCCAACATTGGCGTACAGTAGCCTTTTAGTTCGGCACCGACCTGCTTTGTCAGAAATAGTCTACCCTTAAAATAGTCTTATTTAGGTCGTTGGTGGCTGCCATGGTTACGTCATCCCTGTTGTTTCCCAAGGCTGATTTCCTAACTTATGGGCGTTACTGTAATGCAAATTTTTTGTATATTTGCACTGAATTCTGTTTTAGTAACAGAGCATACGGTAATGATGAGAATTATTCCATAAACATTAAGTGCTTTTCGGGATTCGTCACGCATCACACTCCTATTCAGAATAATTTGAGCGTTGCAATTGCGTCGCCCCATTTGATGACTTGAGAGGACCAACTGATTTACAACTAGGCTTTTTATCCACACAGATAATGCAGAACCAATCAAGCGACCCAGAAGGGATGGAATGTCTCGTAGGTCCATATTGGCACGATCTTATGGTCTAGTAATGAGTAATTGATCCCACCATGCACTAAGCAGTTCCACCAGCCACTG